AATACTCATTGATTTCATTGTTTTCCATTTTGATCCTTACTCCTTTTTTCTACTTGCTTTTGCTTTTTTCTAGCTTTTTAAGGTGGAAGCACCTGAAGTCATTGATTTGAGATCTTTCTTATGCAACACAAATAAGCATTGTGTTTGTATTATGTACGTATATATCTACCATATGTAAATGCATATATGAAGTTTCTCATATATGGGATATAATGTATTATGTGTAATATATATTAATGTGTAAATTTCACATATAGGGAATTTCATATGTGCATGTATTTATGCATATATATATATATCTGCTATACACATGTATGAAGTTTAACTTGGATAAGAAGAAAGGTCTAAATCAGTGGTCTTAGCTATTTCCACTTGGAGAATGTAGAAGACAAATCCGTATAATAGTAGAAGAAAGGAAATAACAAAAAGCAAAATGGAGAACAATATAATCTGTAAAAACAGAAAAACAGTTGAGAAAATCAGTGAAACCAAAAGCTGTTTCATTGAGAAGATTGATAAAATGGATAAACTTCTAGGTGGAACAGATTATCAGTATCAAAAATAAGAATGATGAATCACTGAAGATTCTATAGATACTATGAAGGAAGTGAGGAAATACTATACCTGTAAGTTATCAATTTGACGATTTTGATGAAGTTTCTTTCGGATAAACAGCTACTACCACTTACTCCAAAACAAATAGATAACCTTTCCACAAAGAAAAACCCAGGTCCCCAGATGCTTTAGTAGTGAATTCCAGCAAACGATTAATAGTACCACTTCTACACAAACTTTTCCAGAAAATTCAGGAAGAGGGAATACTTCCTAAATCATTCTTTGAGTCCAGCATTGCCCTAATAATAAAACCACACAAAGACATGCAAGGAAAGAAAGCTATAGACCAGTGTCCTTCATGAACATAAATTTGAAAACTCTAGGGATTGGAAACCAGTGGTGTGTAACAAGGTTATTAATACCTCATGACCAAGTGTGGTTAATCCCTGGCAGGCTTTTTCAACATTTGGAAAGCAGTCAGTATAATTCCCTGTGTCTAAGCCAACTTCATGGCTAGGTGACCTGTGCAGTCACATGTTGCTGCACTCTTGTAAGAAGGGATCCTATACTTGGCTTAATGCCCTGTTGTTGCCATCTTTAAGTTCTTCACAGTTTGATCTTTGAACTTGTGATTTGTGTATGAAGTCTGATGGACACTGGACTATGTGTGCAAGTAGACAGGATACTTGAGAGGCAGTGCCCTACTAAGCTGTTGGTCACTCCCAGTATGACTTGGGAGTGTCCTGGAATTGTGTGTGAGTGGCCAAGGCTATGATCTTTGTCTGCATTGGTTGCAGCAGCAGTAAACTCACGAACAGTTGCACCCTGGAGAGGACTCACAGTGTGAGACTAGCTTGCTGTGTCTCCCCTAAGCCTGTCCGTCTGACATTCTTAGGAAATACTAATTTTCTGGGCTGAATACTGGGACAGCAACCTCCAACTTTCAGGCAGTCATCATTGTCAGTAAAGTATTGGAATATAAAAGCATACTTGTGCACATTGTGTTAAGGCACACTAGGCAGTTACTAGAATTCTTTGGAGTGTAGATTCTTTGGTCTCAAGAACTGCTGCAACATTGCAAAGCAAATATCCACAGGCTTAGAAACAGGAATTTCATTTGATGGGAGAGAACATGATTTTCATATAAAATTTTGGATGAATCAAGTATTAACAAAGAAGTGAATTTTAAAAATATTTTTTTTTGCATTTGAAAATATAGCAATAAACTGCATAAACAGCTGTTTCCAATTATATGCAAATCATGAAGCCATTTTGGTTTCTTGTAAAAGATGTAGGAAATGTCAGAGGAAACATTAAAATGCCATTGTATAAATTTACATGTAAAATAGAATTCAGCTTTGTACAACACTAATATTGATGAAGAATTAATTTCAGAGAACTGCTACTCCAGTCTTTGTCTACATATACCAAAACTTGTATTTTTTTAACTTTTATTTTGCAATAATGTATCAGAAATCAGAAATTTAGCCCATATTGTCACAACGTATAAAGAACCAACAGGTTCCTAATGATTGCATCAGCTGAAAAATCAACCTTCTCAAAATTAAAAACTAGCAAAAATTACTTATCTTGCATTTGCCATGAATTTCAATTATATATTGAAAATGAAGTTGCTAAAAATATAAATTTTGATGACTTAATAAATGAATTTGCCAAGAGTGCCAGAAAATCTTACCATCAAGATATCATAGTAACAAACTATTAGTAATTATTGTATCATTTAAAGTTATTATAACAAAACTTTTTTGTTATTTGCAAATTTATGTTATATATATTACTATTATACCTATTACATTTTACAAGTAATAAAATATATTAAAAGAAAAACATAATTTATTTTACCTTTTACTATACTTCTTTTTATACATTTTTAGTAACTGACCTCACATTTTTATTTTGCACTGTCCCCATCAATTATGTAGTCATCTCTGCCCTGTATTAAAAAGAAAAAAAAATAGAAAAAAGTCAAACCCATATGACCATTTCAGTATATGCAGAGAAAGCATTTGACAAAATGTATTATCTATTTCTGATTAAAACTCTCAAATGAAGAATAGAAGATAACTTTCTTTAATCTGATAAAAGTCATCTATAGACAGTGTACAATTGACATTGTATATAATTGTGAAAAATGGAATGATTTCTTTCCAATATCAGGAACATGACAAGGATGTCCATTCATACTTGATAGTATAATACATACTACCTAGTATAACCAGGGAAGAAAAAAAAAGGAGACTAGAGTGGAAGAGAAGTAGAAATGCCTTTATTCACAAAAGATACGGTTATCTATGTAGGAAATCTAATGGAGTCTCCCAAGATATGGGAAAAAGAATGACTAGAATTATTAAGTATAGCTAGGTGGCAGGAGAAAAATATGTAAAAATGAATTTTACTTCTATATATTAACAATGATCAATTGGAAATTGAAATTTTTGAAAGTTCTCTTTGCAATAGTATCAAAAATATATTTTTTTTTTAGTTATGTCTGGCAAAAGATGTGAAAGGCCACACTGGAAACAATCCGCTGCAGAGAGAAATTGAAGACCTAAACAAATGGAACTCCCTGCTTATGTCAGAAAGCTCACTATTGCTGACATGTTTTGTTGTTTACATGACTTACAGATTTAAAATAATATAATTCCATGTAGTAATTAGCAGGATTTCTTGTAGTAATTGAGTATGTAATTCTAAACTTTATGTGGAAATACACAGGAACTAGAATAACAAACTTTCAAAAATAAAAGCTGAGTTGTATGGATAAGATTACCTGATTTCAAGACTCAAAGTAAAAGTTTGCAGACTTTGTCTTTTTGTACAGACTACATTTTCTTCAATTTTAACATCTAGTAGTTTTATTAAGATATGTTTTGGAGAAAACTGTTGCTGGACAGTTTTCCCAGGTTCGTGATAGTTCCTTTGCATATGTGGGTCAGGTCTTTCATTTTTGGACAGTTTTCTTAGATTATACTTTTTAATATTGGATTTATTCTGTTGTTTTCTTTTTTCTTCTTTAAGGACTGCAATAACATATATACTATATTATAATTTTATTTATTTATTTAATTGTAGACCATCTTTATCCAGAACTTTCTTTCTGATCCTATTTTCTTTTTTCTTACTCTTTTAAAATTATTGCTGCTTCTTTTTTTTCTTGTTTCATTCTCCTTTACAGTGCTGTTCATTCAAGTTTCAGTCAAGTGTAGTTTCCCCTTTGGCTCTGTATTAGTTTGCTCAGGCTGCTGTAACAAAATTCAACAGACTGGGTAGCTTAAATAAATTTTCTCACAATTGTGGAGGCTGGAGGTCTGAAGTCAAGGTGCCAGCAGGGTTGGTTTCTGGTGAGGTCTCACTCCTTGGCTAGATGGCATTTTCTTCTGGTGCCCTCACACAGCCTTTTCTCTGTGCATATGACCAGTGGTTGGAGGTGGTGGGTGGAGGGAGAAAGAGAGCTCATGCATGTGCTTTCCAGTCTCCTCCTACTCTTATAAGGACACCAATGCCATTGTATTAGTTTCTTACCCTTATGCCCTCATTTAACCTTAGTTAATCTCCTTAAAGTCCCCATCTTCAAATACAGTCACACTAGAGGTTGAGGTTTTAACATACACATTTTGGGGGGGCACAGTTTAGTCCATAACAGATTCCTTAATAAAGAATGTCTTTAATAAGACTTGAATTACAGTCTTATTTTCTGTGATTACTGTGTCCTCTTTACAACTTCATTCCTGAGTTTGATTACCCTTTGCCTCTTTAGTTTTCATACAATCCAAGTCTCTTCTCTTGGATTTCCCAGTAGCCTGAGCTTTAATCTGCGTGAACTCAGATATCTTCTGAGTATTTTCCCACTCATAGTGAAACTTTCCCTTTCTGGGAGTAGTTTTGTGTTTCATCCTCTCTGGGCTGTCTGTCTCCTCTATTCCATGTGATCACCACAGTCTCTGGCTGACTCTCTTTGTAGGCATAGGCTGTCACTTTTTACTGTATTTGAATATCTGTTGCTTAGTAGTACTTGAAATTAGTAACATTTTCCATCTCCTAGTTATGCTAAAGTCACGGAATGTTATAGATAATATTATTTGCTCCACTTATGCTGACTTTTATAATTCTTGGGGGGATGCACAGGGAAATGCAGATGTAAGCAGTTGCTATTATTCTTTTTACATTAGAAACCAAATGTGTGCATTCAAATAGTTAAATTCCTCTCTGTTTTGTCACTAGCCTAGACCTTTTGTTCTGGGTTTTGTTTTTGTTTTTTCACCCCAAACCCATGAAATACAAAAAATATGCACTTGCAATTATGTTCATCTTTGGAAATTGGCCAAAAAACCAGAGTTAGCTACAACATGGGGCATTTGTATAGAGATTTCATTCCCTGAGAAATGTTTTAGAATTTATATAAGATTAATTTTGCTTGTTTCTAGAAGTCTGGACAGCTGATCACCTGAAAGAGAGGAGCCAAGAAAACCAATCTAAACATTTGTGGGAAGTTGTATTCATCAATAATGAAATGCTGACTAAGGAACAAGGTGATGTAATAGGAATACCATTTAACATGGACGTAAGCTCTTTTCCTTCCAGAAAAATGTTCTGTCAGTATGACTCATGTGAAATGAGTTTCAACACTGTTTCACAATTGGTTATCAGTAAGATGAACTATTTAGGAGAAAAGTCTGATGAATTTAATGCCTGTGGGAAATTGTTACTCAATATTAAGCATGGTGAAACTCATACTCGAGAGAAAAATGAAGTTTTAAAAGATAGGAACACTCTGAGTCGTCATGAGGATGCTTTGCAGCATGAGAAGATTCAAACTTTAGAGCACAATTTTGAATACAGTATATGTCAGGAAACCCTCCTTGAAAAGGCAGTATTTAATACACAGAAGAGAGAGAATGCAGAAGAGAATAACTGTGAATATAATGAATTTGGGAGAACTTTCTCTGATAGTTCATCCCTCTTGTTCCATCAGATACCTTCGTCAAAGGACAATCACTATGAATTTAGTGATTGTGAGAGGTTCTTATGTGTTAAGTCTACCCTTTCTAAACATCACGGGGTACCTATGGAACACAATGAAAGTGGGAATAATTTCAGGAGGAAATTGTGTCGGTCACAGCTTCAGAAAGGTGATAAAGGAGAGAAACACATTGAATGTAATGAATGTGGGAAAGTTTTCTGGGAGAAGTCACATCTCACTCGACATCAGAGGGTGCACACAGGAGAGAAACCCTTTCAATGTAATGAATGTGGAAAAGCTTTCTGGGATAAGTCAAACCTCACTAAACATCAGAGATCACACACAGGGGAGAAACCTTTTGAATGCAATGAATGTGGGAAAGCCTTTAGCCATAAGTCAGCTCTCACATTACACCAGAGAACACATACAGGGGAGAAACCCTATCAGTGTAATGCATGTGGGAAAACTTTTTGCCAGAAATCTGACCTCACTAAACATCAGAGAACACACACAGGGCTGAAACCCTATGAATGTTATAAATGTGGAAAATTCTTCCGTGTGACTTCGCACCTTAAAGTACACCAGAGAACTCACACAGGTGAGAAACCTTTTGAATGTCTTGAGTGTGGGAAATCCTTTTGTGAAAAGTCAAATCTTACACAGCATCAGAGAACTCACATAGGAGATAAATCTTATGAATGTAATGCATGTGGGAAAACTTTCTACCACAAGTCATTACTCACCAGGCATCAGATAGTTCATACAGGGTGGAAACCTTATGAATGTTATGAATGTGGGAAAACCTTCTGCTTGAAGTCAGACCTAACAGTACATCAGAGAATGCACACAGGTGAGAAACCCTTTGCATGTCCTGAATGTGGGAAATTCTTTAGCCATAAGTCAACCCTCTCTCAACATTATAGAACACACACAGGGGAGAAACCCTATGAATGTCATGAATGTGGAAAAATATTTTACAATAAGTCATACCTAACTAAACATAATAGAACACATACAGGGGAGAAACCCTATGAATGTAATGAATGTGGAAAAACCTTCTACCAAAAGTCACAACTCACTCAGCATCAGATAATTCACATAGGGGAGAAACCCTATAAATGTAATGAGTGTGGAAAAGCTTTTTGCCATAAGTCAGCTCTAATTGTACATCAGAGAACCCATACACAAGAAAAGCCCTATAAATGTAACGAATGTGGCAAATCTTTCTGTGTGAAGTCAGGACTTACTTTTCATGAGAGAAAGCACACAGGGGAGAAACCCTATGAATGCAGTGAATGTGGGAAATCCTTCAGTCACAAATCATCACTCACAGTACATCACAGGGCTCACACAGGAGAGAAATCTTGTCAATGTAATGAATGTGGAAAAATCTTTTACCGTAAATCAGAACTTGCTAAACATCAGAGATCACATACAGGGGAAAAGCCCTATGAATGTAACACATGCAGGAAGACTTTCTCTCAAAAGTCAAATCTCATTGTACATCAGAGAAGACACATAGGAGAAAAACCTTATGAATGAAATGGATATTGGAAATTTCCAGCCACAAATCAGCCTCCATAATGCCTCAGATGATTCACACTGTGGAGAAAGCCCTGCTGACATCCTGAATGTTCAGTAACTATCCACAAACTCACCTTATGTTACTCCAAAGTAACAGTAGGGGATAAACCCATAGACTACAACAATTATAGGACAGCTTTTGTTAGGAAGTGATATTCTATTTAATATCAGATGGTTAATACGGGCATAAAACCTTACAGATTTTTTTGAATTTATGAAAGTTTTTGGCAAAAATACAAATAAGATTATGTTAGAATTTACACTGAGGAGAAAATTGTCAATTTAAGAAATTTAAAGTGAAAATTTTGCATAGAAATAAAATATGACAAGTTCTGTTTTGAGTTTGATACAATAATAGTTTTTAGGGTACCTAACAATAATTTATAGATAGATGTATATTGTGGAATATAAAGCTTTAAGAACTTAAAAAAAAAGTAATAATTAAAATAACCTCACAAGAAGTTGTAATGAGTACAGAGAATTCCCATGTACACTTCACCAAGCTTCCTCTAAGGATAATATATAATTATAATATATGGTCAAGTCCAAGAAATTGATGTTACCTTGCTAGTAGATACAGACTTACTCACATTTTACTATGGTTTGCGTGCACTGTGTGTGTGTGTTTATATCAAACTTTTACCACCTTTACATTTGAGTAACCATCAGCACAATTAGTTTACAGAACTGAAAAGGAATCAGGATTTAGCCTCAAGTAGTTCCCTTGTATTAATAATCACACCCTTTCTGCAACCCTACCCCTGGCATCCACTTGATTATGAAGCTTTTTATAAAGCATCGATAAATTGATTAATATCAATTTATTAATGGGCAATTAATGGGCAATAGCATTAAGCATATCTGCGAGTTATCCCTGAAGTTCATAGGACTTACAAATGTATAAGTGGTATGTGATATAAATCGTGTGTTTTATATGCATAATGGAATTTAATGTAATTGTGAATAGGAAGTAGGTATCCTAGTTTAGTAGTGGTTATATCATCAGGCCCATCCCAGATGTTTGTCATGTCCTGAAACAATTTAAAAGGAGACCCACAGAGCTAATGTTTATCCATTTAAAAGGAAAAATCAAAATAACAACTTATCTAAAAAAAAAAATCTATCCTGTGCATGTGAAGATCTAGGCCTGCCTCCATGTTACTCCCTTTCTCTTCGTACCAGTGACTCATCCCATGCCATGAAGTGCCTAGGGTGCATATATGAACACTTCAGCCTTCAACGTAAGTGATACTCCAAATTTTCTTTAAGCAGCTGCTCTCCAAGACAGGGCCCTGGAAAGAAGCCTACACATATAGCCCAGTTGCTGCCCAGGGCGGTTGAACTGTCATTTCAAGGCTCATTGTACCCAGACAGGGATCTGAACCTTCAGAGACTTTTGCGAATATGAAGAGGAGGGTTGAGGCTGGAGCACAGCCAGAATCAAGCTGGCATGGGGCTGTTATTGAAAGTGTGAAGATTGTACATTATATTACATTATCAGATCATACAAATAATCTAAGATTATACAGTCTGGTGATCCTAGATTACACAAGTAATCTAAGCTTCCACTTTAGGAAACTAGCAAAAGAAGAGCAAATTAAATCCAAAGTAACTTGGAAAAAAATAAAAGTAAAAATCATAGAAATTGAAAAGAGAAAATCAATAAAACCCAAAGCTGGTTCTTTGAAAAGGTCGGTAAAATTGATAAACGTCTAGCTAGCTTAAGAAAAAACAGAAGACAAATATTGCTAGTACCAAAAATGAAAGAGGCCATCACAGCTGATCCTATGGTCACCAAAAGGATTAGAAAGAAATATGGACAACTCTGTCCATAAATTTGATAACTTAGCTAAAATGGACAAATTCCTTGCAAGATGCATTCTTTCAAAGCTCACACAAGGGTAGACCTCAGTAGGCATACATATCTATTAAATAAATCAAAGCAGTAATTAACCTTTCAAGGCCGGGTGCGGTGGCTCATGCCTGTAATCCAGCACTTTGGGAGGCTGAGGCAGGCGGATCACGAGGTCAGGAGTTCGAGACCAGCCTGGTCAACATGGTGAAACCCCGTCTCTACTAAAAGGACGAAAAATTAGCCGGGCGTGGTGGCACGCGTATGTAGTCCAAGCTACTCAGGAGACTGAGGCAGAAGAATCACTTGAACCCAGGAGGTGGAGGTTGCAGTGAGCCGAGATTGTGCTACTGTACTCCAGCCTGGGTGACAGAGTGAGACTCCATCTCAAAAAATAATAAAACCTTCCAAAACAAAGTGCCGGGACCAAATGGGTTCACGAATGTGCATTTTTTGAGATACTTAAGGTAGAAATGATACCAAGTCTCTACCGTGTCTTTCAGAAAATAAAAGTAGAGATAACACTCCCAACTTATTTTGTGAGGCCAGTATTACCCTCATACCACAACCAGGCAAAGATATTACAAGAAAGGAAAACTACAGATCAATATTTCCAGTGAACACAGATACAGAAATCCTTAAAATGTTAGCAAATCAGGAATGCAAGACTTGTTCAACATTTGATATTCAGTGTAATCCATTGCATGCATTAGCAGCTCAAAGATGAAATATGATCATATCAGTAGATGCAGAAAAAGCATTTGACAAAATCCAATATCCATTCGTGGTAAAACCTCAACACAGAAGGAATACAGGAGAACTTACTCAAGTTGATAAAGAACTGCTGCAAAAAACCCTACAGCTAACATCATCCTTGAGGTTTCCAACTAGATGCTTTCCTACTAACATCAGGAACATGGCAAGGAACACTGCTTTTCAGCATTGTACTGGAAGTGCTATCTAATGCAGTGATAAAAAAATAAAATAAAATAAAATGCACATAGATTTGGAAGGATGAAATACAACTGTCTTTGTTCACAAGTAACATGATTGTCTTTGTAGAGAATTCTAAATAAACAACAAAATCCCTGCTGACATTAATAAGTAATTATAGCGGGGTTGCAGGATATAGTCCTCAGGTAGATGATAAGGAATTAGACATCAAGTCACTAAAAGACCTGGAGGAACCCTAAATGCTTATTAAGTGAAAACCAATCTGTAAAGGCTTTCTATTTTTTTATTGCAATTATATGATATTCTGGGAGAGGCAAAACTATCGAGCCAGTGAAAGGACCAGTGGTTGCTGAGAGTTAAGGGGAAGGGAGGGATGGCAGGTAGAGAGGTGATTTTTAGGGCAGTGAAAGTATTCTCTAGGGTAATGTAATTTGTCGAAACGCAGAGAATGGAAAACAGTGAATGGAAAATGCAGAGTAAACCCTAATGTCAACTCTGGACTTCAGTTAATAATAATATATCACTATTGGCTCATTAATTGTAACAAATGAACCATAATGATGCGAGATGTTAATAATTGGGGAGCCTGTGGAGGATGGGAGGGGTGAAGGGTTATATGAGAATTCGCTGTACTTTTTCCTCAATTTTTCTGTAACCCTAAAGCTACTCTAAAAAATGAAGTGTATTAAGTAAATAAATAATTAAATAACCAACCCCGAGGAACATCTTGTTTCTGTACTTGTTAGTCGTATGTTTCTGACTGAACCTGTAAATCACCATTAGTGAACATCTGAATTGCTTTTATACGTCCTTAATATATTTTAAATTATGGTAATGGTGACCTGAAATTAAGGACTAGTATTCTTGGTTCTCTTGATATCTGAAGCCAAAAGGGCCTCAGATGACCTAACCTCGTTTCCATCACCACTGTGCTTCCACAGGTGAAGTAACTTAGCAGACAGTCCTTGTCAGGAGGGCCAGGCACAGTTCCTGCTTATTCCTAAGTAGTAAGATTTTCTTCCTTGCCAGCTCTTGGAATTATTCACCAAACTCCTCACATCCTCCCACAGCAAACAGTGGTCACTGTACGCTCTGGATAAAACAGCTGCTCACCACAACCCCTCCTTTTCCACTCTGCTCCCAAGTAGAACCCTGTGTGGCTCTGTCCGGCATGTGGTGTCCTTCTCACCTTTCTGAGAGTTGGTGTGACTGACAAACTGACTTAGATCTTATCTGTCCAGTGTCAGGTGTTCAGTATTCAACCTTTCTATAGCATCAGGGTAGGGGTCCCTCCTTCACCATCAGGGTGAAAAGGAAGCAGTTACAACCATTAGCATAAACAGGATGGCCCATCCAAAGCCAGGGTCATCTAGTCCAATTTTAACTGCTGTTGGCTAACTGATAGTTTCCATATTATGGCAAAGGCTTCTTTGACAGAACCACTAGTTGCTGGCAGGTTTGCACTTGGCCTGTGCTGTAATGCACTTTTCTTGGGGGAGGTGAGTGTCGCATCTCTTCCCATCCTAATATACTCTGTGTGCAGGACAGGAGTGCTCACCCATTGGCTATATGCCTGCATGACTTGACTTGGGCTGAGCCTGTTTGACAGGTGGTCTCTGAGGCTCCCACCCGTAAAGGTATTGACCACACAGCACACGAACTGATCAGCACTTTAGCACCACTTTCCAAAGATCTGGCTAGAGCTCTCTGATTATCATCACTGGCTGCATGGAGCATCCCTACAGACTGTCGTTTGTTATTGAACACCCCTGGGTTGTGCATGCAGATGGCCTATTGTGAGGTTTGTGGAAAGGCAGGAGACAACTGAGGGAGGTGAGTGTGGCACTCTAGTTGCCTAACGAGGCATTCAGGAAGGGTAGTACCTGCACCCCTCTCCTGTGCTGCTCCTTCACTTGCTGCTCCTTCACTTCACACATGCTTTCCTGACCCCTAAGAGTGTCAAGATGCACATGCATGGTGGCCCATGGTCCGGGTGCTGATGAGAAGAGAAAAAGGTACCAGTTCTCCCCAGATTACCAGAGGAAGTAACTCTCCTGCTCTCCCAATGCAAAACCCCTCTCCAGTGTGCCTGAGCATGGCCTGGCATTGCTGCTTGCCAATATGCCACAGGGTGAACCTTGCAATCATGGGGACTGATGGCCTGCACCTGGGCCACAGACTACATGGCTTTACCTTGAGCATAGGGAGAGTGACTGTGACATCCACTGTGCTTTGAGAGTCTGTGTCCGCTCCAAAAGTAATGTTGAGCCGGGTTCAGTGGCTCAACAAATCCCAGCACTTTGGGAGACCGAGCACAAATCCCAGCATTTTGGGAGGCTGGGGCGGGAGTATCACTTGAGGTCAGGATTTCAAGACCAGCCTGGCCAACATGGTGAAACCCCGTCTCTACTAAAAATACAGAAATTAGCTGGGCATGGTGGGCACCTGTAATTCCAGCTAGTTGGGAGGCTGAGGCAGGAGAATCGCTTGAATCGGGGAAGCGGAGGTTGCAGCGAGCCGAGTTGTCGCCACTGCACTTCAGCTTAGGCAAGAGAGCAAGACTGTCTCAAAACAAAAAACAAGTCATGTTGAAACTGAATCCAGTGCAACACTTGCAAAAGTTTGGCCTTTGGGAGGTGGTAAGGTCATGAGAGCTCCACCTCATAAATGATTGGTGATCTTAGGAGCCATCGGGAGAGAACAGACTAGGCCCCTTTTTGCCCCTATCCTTTCTGACATGTGAGGGCCCAGTGTCACTCCCCTCAAGAGGAAACAGCAAGGAAGGGCTGCCTTGGAAGCTGAGACTTGGCCCTCACTGGATACTCACCTTTCTGGCGCTTTCATCTTGGACTTCCCTGCCTCCAGAGTTGTGAGGTAAATATCTATTGTTTATAAATGACCTAGTCTCAGGTGGTTTGTTATAGTAGCACAAATGGACGAAGACAAAATGTCTCTTGGAAATTTGGCATTTGGCCATGCTAGAGTCTCATCTCTGCACATGAGGAATATGTTGGGACACTATTGAAAAAAATCAAACTCAACACCTAACGGCATGATCCCAATGTTGCCTACGACATTTGTCAGATTATTTTCAGGGGAAACTGTGAGACTATTGTGAGTGCGTGTGTATGGACATGCAGCCTATGTGTATGTGAGGTGAGGTTGGGAGAGAGATTTATAATACCTCAGTTAATAGAATCAATCTGAAGGATCGCTTGAGCCCAGGAGTTGAAGGCTGCAGTGAGCTATGGTGGTGCCACTGCACTCCAGCCTGGGTGACAGAGTGAGACTCCGTCTCTTTAGAAAACAAAAGGCCTTCTGCGATGGCTCGCCTGTAATCCCAGCCCTCTGGGAGACCGAGGCGGGCGGATCATGAGGTCAGGAGATCAAGATCATCCTGGCTAACATGGTGAAACCTCGTCTCTACTAAAAATACAAAAAGCTGGGTGTGGTGGCAGGCGCCTTTAGGCCCAGCTACTCAGGAGACTGAGGCAGGAGAATGGCGTGAACCTGGGAGGCGGAGCTTGCAGTGAGCTGAGATCGCGCCACTGCACTCCAGCCTGGACAACAGAGCGAGACTCCGTCTCAAAAATAAAATAAAAACAAAAATAAAATCTGAGGAAAAGTATACTGTACCGATCATCTGGAAGTAAACAGTGAGTTTGGAATGTGCGCACCCTAAAAAAACCCTAAAGTAAAGTGCATCTATGTCTGTGTGTAGTAATAACAGACTAGCATTTTTGCAGATTCGAGCTATGAACTAGAGCAAGGCATCC